CCTGACACCACAACCAGACTATAGCACCAAGTGCCCTGTCCAGTCTTTTTTAAACACATCCAGAGATGGTGATTCCACCACCTCCCTAGGAAGACAATTCCAGTATTTTGTTATTCTTTCAGTGAAAAAATTTTTCCTCATATCCAACCTAAACGTTCCCTTGGTGTCCATCCCTTCCCCAGGTGGAGCCGGAGAAGCTGAAGACACTAACGGAGGGGCTGGAGGCGTTCAGCCGCGCCAGGAAAAGGAACAGGAAGTGAGTCCATCCTCTTCCCCACCAAATTCCAGCTTTTCCCTTCCTCTGCTGCCCTGCTGGGGCAGCCCAGCCAAGCTGAGGGGTTCATTTCTTGGGGTTCCTCGTGGTGGTTCTGGAATCTGAGGCGTTCCGAGGGCATCTCCTCTGTGAAACATCCCCTGTGGAGGAGCTTCTGGTGGTATAAAAGCAGCAAAAAGTCATCCCATGAAAATTACCCTGCCCAAACCACAGATTTTAACAGACCTGACCTCCTTCCTTCTCCCCGTGGCAGCTGAGCACAGGGTTGTGCTGAGAAATCCCCTTTATTCCCACTGCAGGATTTGTGGCTGAGCTCTGGCTCACACCTGTGTCAGCTGCTGGGGTTTATCCAACTTTCACCTTTTAGTGACAAATACCAGCATAGAAAACCTATCAAACAGCAAATATTGGGGCGTGCAGCATCAGGATGGGCAAAAAGAGGAAAATTGCTGAATTTTGGGAGGAAAAAAACTCCTCTGGACATCTTTAAAGGGATGACAGAGTAGGAACTGTGCTGTGATTGGGTTTGTTCTATGATGGTGCTTGTTTACTGTCACAGGGAAAATACATTCCTTAAACCTGTGAGAATTTAAACTCAGCTCTGAATGACCACAGGCTGAAAGGGATTAAATAATTCCCTCTCTTCCCCTCCTTTAAAAGGGTGAGCTTTGCTTTTATTCCTGTGTCCCACGGGGCCAAAGAGAAGGAATTTTTATACCAGTGACACACTGGTGGTGGCTGTTTTCTCCAACATCATCCCCAAAATGCCTTCCTGGATTTTAAGGGAGCACAGAAGAGCTTTTGGCAATTTCCCAGTTATTTATTCATGTCCCTGAAGTGAAATCAGTGACTCAAGGACAGCAGGAGCAGATTTGAAGTGGTTAAAGCTGACACAAACTGCTGCATTACAGCCTTTACAAAGGTTTTTCTCCATATTTCAACTTCTTTCCTAGTTTGAATCCTTTGGTGGATATTTCCTGGTTTCCCCATGTCCTGCTGTAGATTCATCTGGCAAAGTTCATGGGTTTCTGTCTGGTTTGTGATGCACTACTGGCTTTTTATCCAGGTGTTTTAAACATTTAGTGTTAAATACAATCAACATTTAGTGTTAAATACAAACAGAGTGCTCATCACACAGGCCCAGGGTTGGTTCAGCAGAGCAGGATTGGTCTCCAAGCCCTTGAAATGACCTTCACGTCCCACAGCTTCCACTGCCTTCCAGGCTTGATTTACAGTGGATTTTGGGAAGGAATTCCTGGCTGGGAGGGTGGGCAGAGAAGCTGTGGCTGCCCCTGGATCCCTGGCAGTGCCCAAGGCCAGGCTGGAGCAGCCTGGGACAGTGGGAGATGTCCCTGCCATGGCAGGGGTGGATTGGGATGGGCTTTAAGGTCCCTTCCAACCCAAACCATTCCAGAATTCTGTGATTAAAGAAAAGGTTTCATAGTTAAGTGTCTCTGTGAGGGACAGGCCTGGTGTCCCAGCAGGGGACAAGGTGTTTCCATACCTGTCTGTGCCACCACCTTCCCTCGTGACAGACGTGGTTCTGCTCATCCTCCATCTTCTCCTCCCATCTCCTCATCTCCAAAGCAGGACCTGGCACCGTGTCCAAGTGGGAAAAGTCCTTCAGAACAAAGAGACCCCACAGAATGGTCACTGTGAAATGAAATGTGCCTGAGCTGCCCCGTGACCTGGGGTAATTTGGGGTTGGAAGAAGGAAACCATCACCCCACCTCCCCCTCAGCCTGTGGGGTGCTGCCATTCCAGGGTAAAAATGGGAATATTTGAGATAATGAATACAGTTCATTGAAAGTTAGAAGGATATTTAACTTTTCTTCTGTAATCCCAACACAAACCTTTCCTTTCCATAATATTGTTACAGGTCTGGTCTTCCTCCTTGTGCTCCCAACCTGGGAGGCTCCAGGCTCAGAACATTCCCAATGAATTTAACGTGTTTGTTATTCACTTTTCTCGAGTTTCCTTTCTGTCCTTAAGAATTACTGACACTTTTCATCTTTTCTCCCTAGAAGTGGAAAGCTAAATAACCATTTAGAAGCTGCTATACACGAGGCCATGAGTGAACTAGACAAAATGTCTGGGAATGTAAGTTCCTTTTCCTTGGAAGTATTCTCCTTTTCCATGTTTCTGCATGTGTGTCCATTGGAGGGAGGCTTGGTTTGGGTGGATTTCTAACAGATTCTGGGTTTATTTTCTGGAATAATGAGGAATTTTCAATATTTCCCCTGCATTAAAAACTGTTTGCAAAAGGCTGATGGTTCTGAAAATTGGGAAGAGTTGTAGGATTTTGAGTACAAAACTCTTGGAATTCAGTTTTCCCCATGAGAAATGAAAGATATTGTAATGAAAGGTAAGTTTAAAAAAATATATTTCTAATATCACATCCAAGAGTGTTTTTTCCACATTAATTACACTGTTATGGTGTAACTCCAGCATCTTTCCAATAACAAGTTTGGTTTATAAAATAGCCTCATTTTTTTTTTTCTAAAACATGGCTGTAATTTCATTGCAGCCCACCTAAAAATTAAAAAACAAATCTATCACAGCACGTGTAACCTCCCACACCTTCTATTTGGTTATTAATTATTCAAATTATTAATTATAAGATGTTTGAACCCAGGAGAAAAAAGGATTTTTGCTGATATTCAGTGCTCAGGACTGAAGAGATGCACTCTTGGAATGTACAGTAACACTTTTAGAGCTTCTGGAGTATAAAAAAGGAAATGTATTTATATTTATTTATATATTTGAAGAACTGAAGGCTTAGAGCTGACTGCAGACCCAACAAGAAATATTTTAAAAGTTACTGAGCAGCTTTTAAGTAGGAACCCAATCAAATCTTTTGTTAAAACTGAATTTAACAAACTGAGATTTGAGTTTTGATTTAAAACAACATTGCTGTGTTTCCCTCCTTTGAGAGGACAAGGAAAGCAGGAGGGGATTGTTGGTCTGCAACAAATAAATTTGGGATGGGAGTTTGGGCTGGCCCATCCTGCTGCCACCTTTTCCCTGCCATAAATCCAGGAATGTCCAAAGTACTCGGGGGAAGGGCTGGGTTGGATTTGCTGCTCTGCTTCTTCTGGCCCCAAACTGCACCTGCAGTGCCTGGTCATTATTTGGCAGAAATTTGGGATTGGTTTCCATAAGGATCAGCATTCCTAGGAGCACTCCCAGGGAATCAGCAGCTCTTTTTAGTGACTTGCAGCTTTTGCAGCTCCTGCTGCTCAGCCCCAGCCGTGGTGAGAGGGAAATGTGCAGCAGGATCAGCAGCTCCAGCAGGGAATTCTGGCAGGAATGTCAGGGGCTGGAGGGCTCAGGGAGCGCTGGGGATGGTTCCTGTGCTGGAGCTGCAGCTGCTGCCGACAGATGGTGGTGGAATTCCACACCAGCTCAGCCTTCCTCCTCCTCCTCTCTCTCCTCCTGCTTCTCCCTGAGCCAGCAATGCCAAACTTTGGCTCTCCAATCCATCCAGCATTAGCTGGGAATTCAATGTTTCCTTTTAAACAAAAAGAGTTTCCTGGATATCCCTCATTCCTTAATAACAGCCCTGAGCTGGACTTCTCCAGTTTCCCATTCTCAACATTTTCTCACCATATTCTCCCCGTGGTTTATCACTCTGGTCACTAGAATGTGTGAAGGTTTGTCACTCAATTTGTCATTATTGCAGTTTGGGATCAGTCCTCAGTTAGGGGGGTTTAGTCCCTGATTAGGGGGGTTTAGTCCTGGATTAGGGGGTTTTAGTCCCTGATTTGGGGTTTTCAGATTTCAGCCCCTGATTTTGGGGATTTCAGTCCCTGATTTGGGGGTTTCAGTCCCAGATTTGGGGATTTCAGTCCCTGATTTGGGGGATTTCAGTCCCTGATTTAGGGGTTTTAGTCCCAGATTTGGGGGTTTTAGTCCCTGATTTGGGGATTTCAGATTTCAGTCCCTGATTAGGGGTTTCAGTCCCAGATTTGGGGGTTTCAGTCCCTGATTTGGTGATTTCAATCCCTGACTTGAGGGTTTAAATCCCTAATTTTGGGGTTGTTTCCCAGCCACTGCAGCTGCTGTCTCTCTCCAAAGTTTGGGATGCACAAGTTATGGAATCAACCTTTTCCTCCCAGTTTCTCCAAGTTGTTGAAGTCCCTTTATTCTGTGTAGCTGTGAAATGCTCAGAGTTGTTCCTGGCAGCCCCTCGAGCCCTCCTGCAGCTCCTCGATGCCCTGACCACTGTCCTTTGCTAACTTGTGAATATACTTATTTTTAGGTCCACCAAATCCCGCAGGGAGACAGACAAGTGAAGCCTCCAAAACTCAAGAGGAGGAAGATCTCTAGATAACATTGAATGTCTTTGTTACTGGTCCAGTCCTTATCACAGTGAACGTGCACATGAGTCTATCTGTAGGTGTTGATCCCACGAGGGTCTGTCAGTATTTCTGTGGAGACACTCGCTGCCATCGCAGGGCACCACGAGGAGCAGTGGTACCAGATTTTGGATGATTAGGAGGGATAGAGGTTGCTGGATAAGCCAATCAGAAATCTTGAAAGGTTGCAGTAACAAATGTCAGATGATTACTGAAATTTTTCTTTTTCTATAATACTAAAAATTGTGATTATAAGAAATAGTCCAAATGTTTCTGAGAAATTTTCATTGTGTATATAGATAATACAGAATTTCATGGTGATATCTGAACTGTAAATATTGTACAATATTGTCATGTACAAGCGTACCTAATGCACACTTTATCTTTTATTGTACAAAAAATAGTGTACAAAATTCTTTGGTTTCTATTGAGTACACATACAAGAGACTACCAGTGTAAAGTGATAAATAAAAATACAGCCTAAATGCTTTTATATGATAATGTAAAAGATGCTGTTTTTGTATTTAACAGCAGAGAGAAGGCATGATTATGTAATACCTTAATTATGACATCCACTTCACGCCACTGAGTGTTCATTGCTCTGTCTGTCTGGAATGAACCTTGCCTGGAAGTGCTGTACTCCAGTTCAGGCCTTTAGGAGAGCGCAGCCTCGCAGATTCCCAGCGGGATGTGGGATCACAGCTCTAATTAACAATTCAAAGGCTGCAACCCCTCGGTTGCGATTTTATTTCCTTAGCTTTGAACGTAGAACGCTGTAGATTTGATTAAAAAGGACAAAAAAAAAAAAAAAAAAAAAAAGAGTAGAGGGACTATTTTAGTCAACCATTTTTGTAGGAGAAGTTTCAGAGCCACCTGAGGAACTAAACAGTCGATCCCCCCGTAACGTTGAGCCCCTCCAACCACCCCCTAGATTAATTAGCTTCAATTATCTAATGACATTAACGCGATGTTTCCTCGGAAGGGGGCAGAGGCCCTGCTTTGAGGAGTGATCAGGATTGATTGCTGTCCATTTCCTTTGGTTTGGCAGTAGGATGAAAGGGCAACGCTCCGCAGTGTCCGGGAAAAGCAATCCCAGGGTCCATCTCGCAGTATTAAAACGGAAAAAAAAGTTAAGGGTGGCTTACAAAACTATTAGCAACAGTAATTTTTATCAGTATTATGTAACATATCAGATTTATTTTATTTAAAAAGAATTATTTATACCATTAACAGATTCTTATATATATTAATGTGGCTGAAATGCGCAGGTTAAATCTATTAACCAAATTATTTATGTTATATTAAGTGAGAAATGTGAAACATATGTAGAAAAAAAAAAAATTAATACACTACAGATTTAAAAGTCTAAAGCTATGAGCCATTATAAAATTAACGAACGGAAGTGTAGCACAACATTCTTTCCATTTGATTTCATTTTCCTTTTCCACACGGCCGGTGGCGATGGTGGCGGAAGCCGTGGCACGCTCGAGGCTTCCCAGGAGAACTCCAGGCACCATTCCCAGCCCCGGGTGGAGCTTTGCCTCCCACCCTGGCGCCGGGACCACCGCTTACCTCAGAGCTCCTTGGCCCCGCGTCCCGCCCGTCGCTCTCTGGCTCAGCACCCCGAGGGTCCCAGGATTGGGGATCCCAAGGATCCCGAGGATCCCGAGGATGGATCGTGACTCCTTCTCCTCTCGCCCCAGTGGCACCCGTGGGTGCCGCAGGGCAGCGCTGGCAGCGGGGCTGGGTGCCCGGGCACGCAGCTACCTCGGGGCTCCCGGGCTGGCTCCTGACCCGGGCGGGGTCCCCTTCTTCCTCGGGCAGGTTCGTTTGTCTCTCCTCCTCCTCCTCCTCGCGGAGCCGCCAGCTCCCGTTCTCCTGCGGCCGTGTCCTGGTGGCCCTTGGCTCTTCCATCCCAATCCGAGCGCTGGAGCCCCTCTCCCTCGGGATTTCCTTTGCCTCCTCCCTCTGCTTCGTGTCCCAGAGCTGAGTTTGTGTCTCCTTTGGCCCGTAGGTCTGTGCTCCCTCCCCGCTGATTTACTTTACATCCCTAAGATTATGTAAAGTATTCTCGTGCACTTGATTTCCTCGGTTAATAATGGCATTGATGTGGGTGCTAGGAGTAGTTTGTTTCAGTCCATACCAATTCTTTTTTTTTTTTTTTCTTTTTTAGAGTTTTTATGGTTTCATGTAAGCAGTTAATGTAAATATTGTGAGCATTACAGGTCATGCAGTGTTGTAACATTTTAAGAAATGTTGCACCGACTTTACGATTAAAAAACTGGTCACTCATACTTGAATTTTGCCCATAGAGCCATTTCTTTCTCTTTGCATTAAAGCATAATCTACTTTTTTGATGGAGGCCCAACCCTTCTTTCTACCTTATTATTTTTTGTTTAATAAATCTCTATTTTTTCTAATAGAAGACTTAAAAATGAAAATTTAAAAAAAAAAATACTTTTTGCCTACTTTCTAATTTAAGAGAGAATTCCTATATTTAAAAGGTGGAGAAAAAAATAAAAGACAAAAAAACACACAAAAAAATACTCCATTGTGGAAAGTGGAACACCACTGGATTTGTCATTAACATGGCACAATCACCCGAAAGTGGCTGAGTACAGCGAGCCCACGACGCCGATCAGGACCTCGGTAGATTTAGGGAACGCCGTGATTCCTTGAGGATGTAAAGTGTTGCATATTCTTGTCTATTTATTTATTTATTTATTATGCTTTCTTTTGCTTAAGTGGGTGACAATGTGGTTGAGTCATTCAGATGACATTCAAATTAAAGGAAATATTCCTCTTTCTATTATGGTGCGTTGTGTGAACGCCATAAACGAAACGAAACAAAAATATTTTCATTTCTTTCGATGGATTTTCTTCTTCATGTATTTTCAACTTCCTGGCTGGTATCAGCTGCAAAAAAAAAAATAATATCCACATAGTTACAAATAATTTTAAAAAAAGAAAAAAGGAAAAAAAAAAAACCAAACCCACCCCACCTCTGATGTCCCAGGTCTGTTATCCTCACAGTCTAAGGTTTTAGGGGTTAAGAGAAACTTCAAATTCCAAGGTCTTTCTGAAATCATCTTTGCAGAAGGTTTATAAGTCATGTGAAATCCTTTTGGAGTCCCTGAGTTTGATGGTCTAGAGATATTAGAGGGCTCGTGGTGGACTGAATTACCTTAGGACTGAATTACCTTTCTTAGCTACAGTTTGTATTTTGCTATGTAGGGTTGTAATGTGAGAATTCCAGAAGAGCCGTAGCATAAAAGTGCTTTTCTATTTTTTAAAAAAACCCATTCTAGTCTTACTAAGAATTAGAGAATTTTTTTAATATCAGTTTTGTAATTTTTGATAAAGTTGTCAATATTATGATTAAATCACCAGAAAAAACAGTTCCTGTGCTGTTCTCTTCGGGGCAGGGACTTTGTCTTCCGACGGATTGTTCAATGCCACGATGGGATGCCCACTCTTAAACGGGGCCATGGGCACCGCTGTGGAATTAAACTAGCAGCCCACAGCTGTGAGGTTGAGTTAAATCCATGAGAGCCAAGAGAATTCCCAGTTCAGCCTGCAGATGCTGTGTGCTCCGGGAAGGTGTCGGGTAAGTTCACCGGCTCTGGAGGCTCCTGCTCCCAGCAGCCAGGATCTCATCCCAGGCATTCCCATCCCACCCCTCTGAGCCAGCAGCTGCACCTCCAGGGACCAGGATTCCTCCCAAAACACCCCGTGCTCCAAGCAGGAGATTCCAGGAATCCCAAACACCAAATGGGTCCTTCAGCTCGATACCATTCACACCGCGGTCCAGGCAGTGATGGAAAAACACCTGGAGGCTAAAAACCAACAAAAATCCTGCAAAAAATGAATTGTTCTATCCCCCAGGTGACCAAGCCCACAGACACCCCACCAAGCATCCCTGCCCTGCTCCTGGTGTCTGGTTCTCCTCGTGCTCCCAAGGATAAAGAGAATTCCATGCTCTTGTATGATGGCCTTGAATATTGCTCAGCCTCAGGCTGCGTTGGTGGTGATGCCATAAATGCTGCCCGAGTGGACATCTCCCAGAAATTCCCCCAGCCTGGTGTGATCCTGCATTACAACCTCTCCTTCAGCCTGGAATGGTGGCACTTTGTGCTGTATAAAGCTCAGCACTGGGAGCTCAGAGCCCTCATTTCCCTCTGCCTGTCTTGGCTCTGAGCGCTTCAAAGCAATTTTTTGTTGTTCTGTTAAAAAAAAATAATAATTAAAAAATCCAAGATTTAATTTGGAATCCCCCTGTGAAAGAAGATCCTGGAGAGATTCCATCTCCCACGTTTTTACCTGCTGCGAGATAAGGGTTTGTCTGTAATTGAGTGTCATCCCAAACGGAGATAAGGGATTTAGAACTGGAAAAAACTTATATTTAGAGCAGTACTGTCTGGAAATTCCTGCTTTGGGATAAGTCTGGGAAGTGGGAAGGGTTTTGACTGACACTGGATGGAGCGGGGCAGGGAAGGAAGAACAGGAGCATCCTCAGGAATTTGTGGGTGAAATCCCAGGGAGGCACTGGCACAGGCTGAAGAGTTCCAAAATTCCAGGCAGGAATTGATGGCAGTGAGTGATGCTGGGCCGAGCTATGGGGTGGTGAGGCAGGTCCAAATGGGATGGACAACAAAGGCTTTTCCAGCCACACCCACCTCCTTGGCGCAGGTAAGTGGAAAATTCTTCCCTGATAATTCCCTAAATTTCTGAGGAATCAATTCTTGGGGTCACAAAACCACAGAATTTCTGCCCAGCTGGTTTGTGCTTTGCTTGGACCCACAGCAGGTGCTCGGGGGGCTGTGCTGAGAGGAGCCAACTTTCCAGGCACTAAGCAGGATTCCAGAGCAGACATTCTCTTCATCCCACTTCAGAAGTTTCTGTCTCATCACAGCACAATCATTTGAGGCCTTTTTGAAGGAGAAGCAATTCTGAACTCCCTGCAGAAATACAGCTCATTTTCACTTCCAGGAAAATAAGTTCTTGCTTCTCTCAATGATTCTTCTCTAGAGAGAGAAAAAGTCATAACAATGTTTTGGGGGTTGTCATCTGTTCTCAGTCATGGGATTGAGCTCTCTGCTTCTGGGTGGGAAAGGAGAGGATTTATATCTGAATAAAACTTTATCCCTCCCTTTCCCTTTCCCTTTCCCTGTCCCTTTCCCTTTCCCTGTCCCTTTCCCTTTCCCTTTCCCTTCCCCTTTCCCTTTCCCTTTCCCTTTCCCTTTCCCTTTCCCTTTCCCTTTCCCTTTCCCTTTCCCTTTCCCTTTCCCTTTCCCTTTCCCTTTCCCTTCCCCTTTCCCCTTCCCTTCCCCTTTCCCTCATTTGTTTAATTGGGATCAAAAGGAGAATCTGTAGTTTCATGACCCAAAATAACAAGCAGGAGATAACAAATGTGGTGTTGGGAAGGAATAAACCTTTTGTCATTTACAACTTGGTTATGACAACAAATAGCAAAGTATTATACAATAAATCAATAAATACAATATTTTTTTAATTTTTGGAGAAACTTCCGGAGATTAATGGAAGTACAGGTGGGGTTTTTGCCACCCTAAAACCAGCAAGGGGATGATGATTTCCATAAAATTGCCCATAAAGTCCTTTTTTAGCAGCTACCTTGCCGAGTTTCTGTCCAGATGTTGGATCCATCCAGAGGGTGAGGAGGAAGGAGTTTTTCCTAATGTAACACATTTCCAAGGCACATGTGATCCTTGTTAAAATGCTTGGAATGCTTGTGTGGGAATTAGGCTGAAGCCCGGTAATGGTGCAAATCAAATCTGTGACAGGCAAGGAGTCCTCAGCAGGGCAGATTTAAGCCGGGTTTAGCTAAAAAGAGTCAAGCTTTGGGAGTAACAACAAAATATCTGCATCTGCTGGAACTGATTGGCTTTGCTGAGAGCAGAACTGATATCACTGAGGAATAAAAGAAAGGCAACAAAGCCCAGCAAGCAGCAAATGATGAATTATTCAATGCAAATGTCAACTTTTAGTAGTGACTGTGGCTGTAAATCTTTTTTTTGCAAGGCTGAGCGTTGCCATTAAGCAACTCCATATGACACTACATCTGTCAGATTTCTTTTTATATCATTTTATTTTCATGGATGCCAGGGAAAAGTATTGGGAATTTCCATGTTCAAATTTTATTAACATCATTTCCCCAACTTCTGTTGTCCGCTGATTTAATGTTTGGTTGATTTTTCTGGCAAGGGTTAAATCCATGCCCACTTCAGTAACATCCCAAGCCATGAGTCTTCAAATGAAAATCAGCTTTTGCTGAGAAATTTTAATTTTTCTGTGCCTTTTGGCCTAGTTGAATTCCTTGGGAAGATAGGGAATGGTGAGGGAAGAGCGAGGAGTGCTGGAGTGCTGGGGGATTCCTATCACATCCTTATCATCAATCTGCCCCAGGGTTTCTGTAGCTCCCATTATCCCCCGTGCCTCCAGGATAAGAGGCTGGGAACAATTGCCCATTGTCACTTTATGAAGAAACTTTTTCATCTTCCTTCCCCAAAGACTCAATTCTTAATTAAGTAAATTAAAATTAATTATGGAATGTGTACGACAAGATGTTATCACGGCTGTGGCCCGAGCTGAGCTCTGTGTGCTGTGCCTGCACTGGGGTGGAGGGGACACGGGGAATGGCTCCAAACTCAGGGATGGATGGGATTTTGGGAAGGAATTCCTGGCTGGGAGGGTGGGCAGACCCTGGCACAGGGTGCCCAGAGCAGCTGTGGCTGCCTCTGGATCCCTGGAAGTGTCCAGGGCCAGGTTGGACACTGGGGCTTGGAGCACCTGGGACAGTGGGAGGTGTCCCTGCCATGGCAGGGGTGGCACTGGATGGGATTTGAGGTCCCTGGGACCATGAGAGGTGTCCCTGCCATGGCAGGGGTGGCACTGGGGGGAATTTAAGGTCCCTGGGACCATGAGAGGTGTCCCTGCCATGGCAGGAACGTTCCCATCACCTGGCTGGGACCTCAGCCTTGTGAAAACATTTATGACCAAGCTCTATGGAACACTGAAAGACTAAAAACACCTTCCAGCCCTGAGGGTAAAAGAGTTTCATTTGTTAAAAGATCATGTAATATTAAGCAATTCCTAAATATCCAAAGGACATTTCCTAACAAGCCCCAAAGCACCCTTGCATATTTTGTAATGATTTCTAGCCAGAGCTTTGAACTGAGGCACATTCCAAAGGATGGGAATGCTGCACTTCCATGAATTAATTTCCAGAGGAAGATGTTGCCATTAGCTATTAACAGGGATCCTCTTATTAACTGCCTGATAAGGATGACTTAAGTATCTCATAAAATCATGGATTAAACAGCAAGAGTGAGTGAAGTGTGTCCCAAGGATCATTGGACCTGCAGCAAAATGAGCACAATTATTTCCTGAATGAAAGGAAAGATGAATAGGTTATTGATTTGCATCCCACAACTTTTAGGTGATGAACACCTCAGAGATGTCAAGTGTTTTCAGAAGAGCAAATGTCCCTGTTCCAGGAGCTGCTCAGAGCCAGGACACTCCTCAGTGTGAGCTGGGCCAGGCCAAGGAGGGACCATTCCCACCCTGGGAAAGGGGGAAAAGTAAAGATGGGGTTTGTGCTCCCTCCCTTCAGCCCCACCTGGTCCCACTGACAGGAAAACTGGGTTATCCCTCCCTCCCAGACTTCAGGAGAGGCTCCCTGAGGGCAGCTTTTGGGGCACCATTCAGCTGAGCTGAATTAACAAATTCAGTGTCTTCCCAAATGTGGCTAATTACTTGTTTTACAGAGCTGTAATTAATTAGATGGCCTTTAGTCATCAGGTCCGTGGAGTGGTTCATGGGTTTTTTTAATGATCCTTAAAAGATGGAAAGAGACTTCTTAAAAATTTCCTCAGTTAGAGACCCCCTAGTTTCTAACTCTTAATCCTTGAAGAAGTTTATTTCTACTTCTCTCTTCAATAAAACCAAGGTAAGGCACAGCTGATCAGAAGTTCATGTTTCCTTCTACTTGTTTCTGGAACCAAAAAAAAGAGTAAAATCTCTCAAAGTTTCTGCTTCTCAGAAAAAGCAAAGTTAAAAGGCAAGGCTGTTTTCAAACAGCTGCTGGTGGTGCTGCAGAAGGGCATCAAGACCCATCATATCAGGGAAATAACCATGAACTGAAAGCTTTCCTGTCTCAGAAATTGCTGCTTTTAACTCCAGTTGCACGCTCTCTTTTTTGTTTGAAATCTGAGAGAACTCTTCCTTCAGCCCTGCAGACAATTGCACCTATTGAACTTCTGGGAGAGTTCAGAAACACGGGGGTGTTTGGAAGCTTTTCTAGAGCATCTCCTCAGCAGAGTGTGAGAGGCACAGTCTGATCTCCAAACAAACCCAGCTAAATTTACCCTGCTCCCACCCACCCTGGCGAGGACTCTTGCCACAGTTCCCTGCTCACACGTCTGGGTCAGGGCTTAAATGCTCCGTGAAAATTGGATTGCCATTCCACAAAGCCTTCCAAAGACATTTGGAAATTTATTTCTCCCTTCAGTCTCACTGCTCTGCTTTTCCCAATTGCTCCACAGCTCTGGCTCCCGGTGCCAGGAGGAGACCTTGCTTGTTTTCTGCATCACTGAGGCTAAAATGTTTCGCCTAAATCCAAAAATTCCAGCCCCAAAATAGTGCTGCAAGGGCTCTGCCTGTGGGGAAGCCTCAGCAGAACACTGAATAATCCTTGAAAGTTTTTAAGCTCCATCAGAGCATATTTGAGTCTCTTTTTGTTCTGAAAGCATCTTTTCCACACCTCCCTGATCCATGACTTAGGGAAGCTGTGGCTGCCCTGGATCCCTGGAAGTGTTCCAGGCCAGGTTGGACGGGGCTTGGAGCCACCTGAGGTCGTGGAAGGTGTCCCCAGGGCAGGGCTGGCAATGGGATGGGATTTAAAGTCCCACTCTGCCATCCAGCATTTTCCCAATAGGAGCTTTCCTGAGCAGCTTCCCCTAAAGCAGGAGTTTCTCATTGTGTTTGAACATCTCACAAAAACCCATTCTGGTCCATCTGGCACCGAAGAACTCCCAGCAAAAGGCCACACTCAGCTCGTGCAAGGAAGAATCACAGAACCCCAGGATCACTGAGGCTGGAAATCCCCAAGACTGAGTCCAACCTGTCACTGATCCCCACCTTGCCAACTAATGAGGTGACCCACTGTCATTTTCCATTTCTCCTCTTTGTTTGCTTGTTAATTCCCAGCTAAATCCTCTTTATAGTGGGAGATCCTGACAATCTTCATTTATAGGGGCTTATAAACTATTGGAGAAGACTAGGATGTCCTAAGGTGGTAGGATTTACAAATCCACACAGGGTTTTCTGGTCAATTAAATAAATAAAATACAGAACTATCTGGTTTTTTTCATCCTCTGGCGTGCAAATATTGAAGTCCTGAATATCACATTAAAATATTGCCTAAAGCCCTCTTTTAATTTCCAGAGGACCTCACATCTGGCAGCAACTTGCAAAACATTGCAGAACATTCTGGAAAAAAATGAATGTCTGTCAAAGCTTCATCTTCTGCTGGGATGGGACTTAGCAGAACTCTTCTGTAAGAGACTGAGTTATGTTTTCTTCGAGCAAGTAATTGCCTTCATGTCTCATAACATGAACCACTGCAAATGATGTTCCTCTCCTGGATCCAGAGGCAGCTCACATTTATATCCCAATAAGCTCCTAATATTGAAGAAATGTGTCAGATTCCACGTCTTGCATGGCAGCTGCAGCTCTCTCAATCATTGTTAGTAAAGGATATTTGCACGCATTGCCATCTCTGCCAGTTTAGACAATATTTTTTTTTTTTTTTTTTTTTTTGCAATTTTGCAAAACAATTTCCCTCCCTGGGTCTCTCTCCCGAGTCGGAAAGGCTCGGCTGATTGAGCTCAGCAAGTGGCACTTTTGGACTGCCTATTTCTTCTTGGTAAATCAGCCTGGGCAGGGGTTTCACAGAAAATTAGGGGCTTTGTTTTAAGAAATTTCATTGTTCCTGGAGCCCTGCTCTCTTTTATTGCAGACAAACAGACGTTCCCTGCTTCGCTGGGATCGATGAGTGAGGGGATATATTGGGAAGTGGTGTGGGTTTGAAGTGGGATTTGCTTTGATATTTCTGTGCAAATCCATGTGATGGCTCACTGACTCATACAGCTGAAAATAGGTGGTGATATCAAGCCCAGAATTCTTTACAGATTTTTTTTTTTCCCCTTTTCTTGCTTAGCTAGCTGCTCTTCCAAAAAATTCAGGTCATTATTCAAATCTGTGCTTAGATTAAAACTCCAGATAGCATCACTCTTACTCATTGATGAATCACACTGGAGCAAATTTTGGTCCTACTGAACTCACTCTGTGTTGCCTTAGTCATAAGTTTGTTTGGCAAATCACATGTTATGCTTGAATTAAGCACTTGCTTAAATAAGATACTTTTAAAATACATTCAGGAAAGTTTGCACATAAGATTTATATAGATAAGATTTATATTGCAAACTTGTCAAAGCAAAACTAGAGAATGAAAAATTCTGTTAATTCTGAGTTAAAACCTGAATTTATGTTGTCAGCAACAGATCTAAAGGGATTGCTGGATATATATATGAAATCAAACTTGTTTTCTGAAGTCTATTTATAAATTAATTTTAAATATTGGCTTTTGGGAGGCTTTGGAATAGCAAACTCCCCCTGGATGTAGTGATGCCACCACCACCCACAGGGCTCAGTGTCACCACAGCCTCTGCTCTGCCACTGCTGACACCAACTTGACCTTTCCCAAAGACTTTTTTTATATTGCATGACTCCTGTGCCAATATCAAATTTGCACTGAATCTTTTAAACTGACACCATATGGATCTTTACATTAACAGGGCCATTTTTCCCTGAATGAGGAGAAGAAGAATTTACTGTAATTATAATTTAAGATCTAAATACAAAATAGACAATGTAAATAAAATCATTTCTGAAAATAGTTAGGAAAAAAAAAAAAAAGCTGTGAAATTCTATAGAAAGGAAGAGCAGGAACTGAGGTGGGGATGGTTATAATAAATTATAGATTATCAATCTCATGGCAGATGGAAACGGGGTATGGTTGGATGCATCCATACCTCCAGCTCCTTCCTACCTCATGCAGGAACATCCACAGAGTGGAGACTCCTCAGGAAATTCATCACTCCACGGTGTGCCAAGACCTGCAGCTCCTTGTTGTGGAGGTCCTGGAAGGGGAGCAGAACACAACCTGCAGTTAAAGAGGTGCCAGCAGGAAAGGGAAGCTGGGCATGGAACCACCACTTCCCAAGCTGGAATATTTTCATGTGTCCCACTGCTTGCTTGGTCCCTTACAAGTGGGGTTTGGATAATGCAGACAGCTTGGGATTGCAGCTCCTCAAAGCTTTATGGATCATTTTCCTCAAAAGAATTAACCTGTGACTTCAGGAAATGCTCACAAAATATCTGCGTGTTTAAAAGCAAGAGAATCGTGCAAAAAAATTAATTAACAACCAACCACCAAATACTTGGGGGAAAAGGGAATGGATTCATTTGGGCTCCTTGAAAACCTACCTATTGAACTGACTTTTTTTTTTTTTTTTGCAACTGAAGAATGAACTCTGATGCAATTTTCCTGTTATATAATGGCATTATTTTCCACTCCTTTATTTCTCCTTTGTTTCCAGGAATGATTAATTAGTGACACAACTCAGGTACCTGCAGGAACATTACCAAGTTCAGCCATTCTTTTGTCTTGGAAGATTTTTTTCCTATACCTGGAGTAGCCAGAAGCTACCAATGTCCTTTTTTGTAATCTCATGGGATTATTTAGGATTTCAGGGTTAGATATTCCCATCACGCCTGTGACATTCCCTGATTTTCCTATGGGAAAAGTCTGTGCAGGTTCCACAGAAATGGTCCCACGTGGTTTGGGCACCTCTTCAGATCTCTTTGAAGTTTCAGCTGCTCCTGCTCTTCTCTGCATTGGCTCTCCATGAATCCTGCCTCTTCCCAAGGACCTGGCCTGCTGGAAGCTGGGTGTTTGCAGTGCCCTGAGAGTCACAAAAATTCCACAAATATTCCAGAATCACACAATCAATCTGATTGGAAAAGACCTCTGAGACCTTTGAGTCCAACCTATGCCTGATCACCACCTTGTCAGCTGTCACATCCAGTCTTTCCTTAACACCTCCAGGGATGGGGTCTCCAAACCTCCCTGGGCAGCCTCTTACAACATTCAATCACCCTTTTTGTGAAGAAATTCCTCCTCATGTCCAGCTAAACCTCCCCTGGCACAGCTTAAAATTTTATCCTCTCATCCTGTCACTACCTTGAGTAATCCATGATTTTCATTTTCAAGCTTCCAAGGCTCACATGTGAAAACTGATTTAAAGGAATCTCCATTCCCTCACTTTCACCAGTGCCCTCTTGCCCTGCCTGTTCTACCCCATGGTCACAATTCATTTCCCCACTTTTTTCTCTTTCTTCCTTTTTTTTTCTTAGTGAAGTTCAAAGGAATTTTATGAGCAGGTCTTGCTCTCTCTGTGCTCCAGACTGGTCTGGGACACAAGGAACACACAGTTCCAGGGATTCCAGGGCAATGTCTGCCAGGCCCTCCCCACCCTCACAGGGAACAATTCCCATCCCTACCCTGTGGAAGTGGGAAGCCATTCCCAGCTTCCAAAATAAACACACTGCTCCCCCTTCCACTGAGGTTTTTAAGCACAACCACGAGAGTGAAGTAGCTGGATGTGCCAAGGGGCAAAGCTGTCCCCTCTTTCCAGGGAACATTGTGAAGTTTTTAGTTTTCATTTGAGAAGAAATTCCTGAGCTGAGCAGGGCTCCCACTGCTCCTGAGGAAGGAAGAGCTGCTCTGAAGGTGAGACTCTCCTGGAGCAGCTCCTCAGCATTCGTGTGTTTATGAAATCCGGCTGGACCTGGAGCTGCAGATCTCCATGAACGGGGCTGAATGGCAATTGGAAGTGGGAATACTGCATCAGCTTTGCTGTGACTGCTGTAAAAGTGTCTTTTTAGTGCTAATTTCCTTAAAAAAAACCTTTGACAAGGAAGTACAGCTAAGTGAAGTTTGACTGCATCTTTAAATCTGCATGTTGATTGCATAACTCCCCAGGACAGCTCCAAACTTCCTTTTGTTATTACAAATGTGTGCACAGAGCACTGCAAACATTGTCCCCAGCCCTCACTGCCAACCAAACACTTTCATTTTCCTTTTGACTCTTCTTGCAGCCCAGCAAATATTTGTGTTTCATGCACAGCAACGCTGTGAGAGATTCTGGTTTTGCTTTCAGCCCCATTTTGCAGGAAAAGGGGGGAAGTACAGAGCAGAGGTGACCCTGATCCCATACAAGTGACAAGAAGCTTCCCTCTGATTGCATCCCAGTCAGATAAAAGTAAAATCATCTCCTGACTCCAATTGGCATGAGCAATTTGGGACAGGGGAATTGCTTCCAGGAGCGAGATCTGGGTATTTCTGCACAGCAGGAAATGGTTCTCACCATGGTTCTGCCCCAGCTGGGGAGATTTTTGGGGTTTTCAGGGTTTTCTCTGCATGGAACATGGAATATTCCCAATCCAGTGGGTGCTGCCACTCCAGATCAGCACAAAGCAATGACACCAACCTCAGAGCAAGGTGGGCAGGGAAAATGTTGCCATTGTGAATCAGAAAGAAAAATTGTTATATCCAGGCCATTAATCCAGAAGACAGCAATTGTCAAGGAGGGTTTTGTAGGTAAGCTTTTAGGTGGGTTTTATTTTTATGAAAGGTACACTTGGTGTATTTCCTAATTTCTTGCTTTTATCTAGTGGAAGGAGTTCCAGCCCATGGAATGAGATGACTTTTAGGTCCCTTCCAACCCAAACCAGTCTGGGATGCTTTGATTTTATGATTTTCCAGCTGCCTGAACATTTGTTTCTAGAAAACAGCCCCCCTTGTGCTGAAATCCAGCAGAACTGCAAAACTCTGAGGAGGAAAGGGAGTATCTCCTATTTCTGGGACAGAGTTCTCCTTATAGCAAGTCCTTCACTCTGGCTTCTGAAATCTGAATAAAAATAAAAACAGTTTTCAATGCTCCACAAGTCTTACTTTATTGATATTTTAAGTTGCAGGATGGGGGTTGGTATAATTTTTTTTATACAAGCTGGGGAGCTCCGAGCTCCTCAAAATGCACTGATTAAAAAAAAAAAAAATCTAGTTTTTTCGTTCTGAGTGTGAGATTTTGAGATAAATTTGTATACATTTGTAAACTCGGTTTTGATGATTTTTCTCTGCTCTGTTTTCCTAAGTAACAGTTGAGTAAATCTCTCTACTCTTACTTTCCAAAGTTGAAGGGCACAAATACCATCCTTTCTAAGTACTGATTTTAACAATATTTTTCTAGTTCCAGTCATAATCATTATTTTCTTCACTGCTTTGTAAAGTTACTTTTTTTCTGGTGGTGAAAGCCCAGATTTCTGGGGGTTTGAGCTGCACTCCTGTGGGTACCCAATGGTTTTACTTGATAATTCCAAACCAAATTCCTCTGGTTTCATATTTGAATTATTGTTAACTCACTTGTTGAATTGGGCTGTAAAAGAGCCCAGTCAAGAGTAGATTTATCTTTTGAGTCAGAATCCAAGATTTTATACCACAGGAAACAGCTGCAGCAGGTTCCTTTAAAGAGCTCCCGATGCCTGTGGTAACCTCCACACACAAAGAAGAATTCCCTTTCATTTTAAACCTATTTCTTGACACAAATAGTTTTGATATAAATCTCTCAAATCAGGAGCTTCCTGCTGCTTTTCTTCATTGTCCCTTCCTGCTGTAATTTGGAGAATCTGCTATTTTCATAGCTGCCCTTTTATTTCATTTTATTTGGCGTTGGGCTTGAGATTTTAACTCCATTTTCAACTTTTATAATTTTCATTCAGAGCTTTAAATCTCCCGGGAAGCTATTCTGTACTGGATTTCAGGGTTTGGCTGATAGGTTTGGGTGACCTTAGAGGGGAAAATGCACAGGCTGCCACTTCCCTAAACCCTTGGAATAATTGGAAATAGAAATGGTTGGGAATGATACATTAACTCTGAGCATTAGGCACTAAGCATGCTTGCTGGCTACTTTGATCAAGCTCTTTTTTCCTGACAAAAACCCCTTTGAAATGAATAGGACAGAGGTTCCTTTCACTTCAATCAGAGTTCTCAGACACGGGGAGAAAGAAGGACTTCATAACCTTTAAAAAGACTCCCCTCGTCCATTCATGGATCTCCTGGAAAGCTCAGCACTTTCCCTTGTGCTGGAGTCACTAAGCCAGATCCTGGATAATTTCAGGCTTCCTTCGAGTGAGGATTTGCTTAAACACGAGATCAAACCCCTCTGAAAAGAGCTGGAATCTGGGATTTACAAATATTTGGTGATGTGGATTCTCAGCATGGCTTTCCTGCTTGCACCTTCTGAGCCTGTACCTGGCACGTTGCAGGAGATGATTCTTTGTACACTTCATATCCTGATTATTTGTCTGGATTTACATCCAGGTCGGCAGCACCCTAAAAATTCCAGGTTTCTTTTAACATTTTAACACCTTTAATGAAGGTGTTAATGAAGGACACCCAGCACCGTGCCTTGGCAGGGGCCATTATCAAGTCTGGAATCTCTGTTTCTGCACTCTTTGAGCTTTTTGATTTTTTACTACTTTTTGTACTTAGAAGGTAACACACGGAGTAAAGAAGTAGCACATTCTCCTGCTGGATCATGTTACAATAATGTAATAATCATTATATAATGATTACAATAATCATTACAATAATCATGAGATAATCATCCAAAAGTGATACTTCTGCTTGGAGAAGATTAATGCAGCGAGATATAAAGTGTTAAGAAAAAAAACCATACCAAAACCAAGAAATAAACAGGATAAATCTGCAAAAAATCTGTAGAAATATCCCAGGCTTTAGGCAGCTACAGTGAGAACAAGGATTCCTTGTGTTAAGTGTCACTATGGAGAAGCAGAACCAAAAGCAAGGATGTGATGAAGCCCTCGAGCCTATACAGCTCTGACATTTCCACTGATATATATGTTTAAATAAAATTAGAGGATTTTTGGTCAATCCAATGTTCAAATGTGCATATTCAATTCCATTATCTCCATGAAGATGAGTCAGAATTCAGCTATTGAACAAATAATTTCATTTGAGACATTGTTTCCTTGATTTGTGCATGAAAAGTAAATTATTTTATCTACAGGTGAGTTACAGCTCCTAATATTTTTACAGCTACAATTCTTCAGAAAACCTATAATATTTTACAAGAGGAAGAGATCAGATTATGTGCTTAAAAGATGGATGGTTCTGGCTTAAAGCTGAGCTAATGCAAGCTGAAACGTTAGTTCTGCCCATGTTCAGCTCTGTGCAATGGCTTTTTTGACTACATAAAAAACTCCTTCTGTACCCTACAGGGCATCATTTAAAAAAAAAATTGCATTGCTTGTATAAATAAAATAATGGGATGAGTTTAGGACTAAGAGCCACCTGGAGGGTAAATATGTTTCATTTTTGTGTTTTTTTTTAATGTAAGTAGTGAAGAAGAGCAGAACACCACACAAAGGGAAAAGGTTGTTATTATCTATTGTTCAGCTGTGCTGACTGAAAGGGGGAAAGGTCTTCCAGCAGTGTGTAAAATGCCTGTTCTTTGCAGAAGCAGAAAGAGGAAAGTCGTGGTGTCTTTTGGAAGTGCTTGAGGAGGAGCTGCCTGCTCCTCTCCCAGGGATGTCACCTGTGCAGCTGGGCTCACACTCCCAGCTGATGGCATCCAGGTGGAAAACACAGAAATCAGCTCCTGCAGGACGTGTCACAATCAATCACCCCTGAAGTGCCAGCCCTCCTCTGCTGCCAGTTCAGCCCCACTTGCTTCAGGGGCACCAAACCCGTTTTGGGTGTAGGAAGTTTGGCTGCTTCTAAAATGGTGCTGAATTGTCAATTCTAAGCCAAACTATACCAATTTTAAATATTTACCTGTTAATTCTAATCCAAGGCAAGGATTGCCTTTCTTATGAAATAAAACTACTCTAAGGGAATTATAAATAAGTGCAGCCTATCACAGTTTGGTTCTCTGTTCCTTTTCTCAAGCTTTTAAAGCTTCATTTGCTCACATGACTGAACTCTTACCTGATGCTTTCATAGCAGTAGTTAATATAATTTCCAGATCTCTTTCCCAAGCTAATTTGTGTCTGTGGCTGATGAACACAATGTTCTTGCTGCTTCTGTTTTCTGTTTCCCTCCTGCGTATTCCTGTGCTTGTTTCATCCTCCTTCTCTCTCTCTCTAGTTGACACAATTCTTTATTCTTCATTTTGTAAATCATGTGTTTGTCACGAACAGCAGTTGTATTTGCTATACAAAACCATGTAAATAAAAAACACAACAGGTAACTAAAAATAAAAAGCAATTCAGAGACTGAACCAATTTTTTCTCAAATTAAAAAAAAATGGAAATTAGGTACAGTTGGCACAGTGATCCAAACAGTGAAGTTTTGAGTGAGTTTCAGTTTGTTCCAGAAGGTAACACTGACAACTCCTGTGAGAGCTCTAAGGTGGAGGTGAGAGAAGCAGCTGCTTGGTCTCTGGGTGTCAAAATTAAATGGAAGTGAGGAGATATTTGAGGTGCTAAGGGTCTTTGATGAAGGGTTTTGCAGACTAATGTCAATTCATGCAGGAAGCTCTGGGTGGGCAGAGGACTGAAGCTCTGTCCAGGTGAGAATTTGGGGTTACTCAGTTCCAAGTTGCAGGACGTTGTTTTTGATGGAAAGAGTGATGAAGGAGTTTGGTAAACTAAAACGAGGAGTTCCACCTCAGCATGAGAAAGAATTTTCCATGAGGGTGGCAAAGGACGGGAACAAGTTCCCAGGGAGAGTGTGGTGTCTCCAGAGTCATTCCAAACCCACCTGCTCCAGGTGACCCTGGCTGCACTGGATGGCTCCCAGAGGTCCCTTCCAACCCTAAATATTCTGTGATTCTCTGGAAAAAAAATACAAAATTGCGCAGGCACAAGTTTGTTTCCGAAGTGTTGGTTTGTGTCAACCCTCCTGACATCTTCATGGCTGGAACTCTTTAAGCCCACATTGACCAACGCACTGAGGAGACAAACCCGCTGGTTCGTGGAGAGAGTGGGGACACTGTGGGGACACTGTGGGGAGACATCACAGACAACGTAAGGATACTGTGGGGACACAACGGGAACATTGTGCAGACACGGTGTGGATGCTGTAGGGCAAGCAGTGGTGACACTATGGGGACACGGCAGGGACACAGTGGGGACACTGTGGGGGATACAGGGAGGACACTATGGGGACACACAGGGACAATGTGGGACACAGAGGGGGATACAGGGGGGACACAGTGGGGACACTGTGGGGGATATGGGGGGACACTATGGGGACATGGAAGGGACACAGTGGGGACACTGTGGAGGATATGGGGGGGACACTATGGGGACACGGCAGAGACGCTGTGGGACACAATGGGGACACTGTGGAGGATAGAGGGGGGACACAGCAGGGACCATATGGGACACTGTGGGGACACTATGGGGACACGGCAGAGACAATGTGGGACACTGTGGGGGACACAGGGAGGACACTATGGGGACACGCAGGGATAATGTGGGACACACTAGGGACACTGTGGGGGATACACGGGGGACACTATGGGGACACGGCAGAGACAATGTGGGAAACTGTGTGGGACTTTGTGGCGACGCTATGAGGAGACAGAGGGGACCCAGCCGGGACACTGTGGGGATCATGTGGGGACACATTGGGAAGAGACTGTGGGGACAACACGGGGACACTGTGGAGAGAGCGGAGAAACTGTGGGGACACCGCGGGGGCACAGCGGGGAGACAGCGGGAGCCAGCGGAGGCACTGCGGGGATATTGCAGACACAGCGGGGACACTGTGGGCAGCCGGCGGGGAGGCTGCAGGGACACTGTGGGGACACTGTGGGGACACTGTGGGGACACTGTGGGGACTCGCGGTTCCTCGCTCGGGACGCCCGGAGCGCTCCATCCCGCCCGGTCCCGCCGCCCCCCTCAGGCTCCCCGAGGCTCCCTCAGCCTCCCGCCCTCGGCTGCGCGCGCAGCGCCGCTCCCGCCGCGCGGGCTGCCGGGAGGGCCGAGCGGCTGTGGTTAATGTCCGCCATGTTTGCCATGGCGCAGGGAGCGGACCGAGCGAGCCCGGCGCGGATCTAGGGCTGCGGGGCGTGCGCTGCGGGCTACGGGCGGCCCCGCCGGGAGCTGCGCCGGGGCGGCGGGACTCTCCATGGTGGCGCGGGCGCGGCGCGGGAGCGGCTGGGAGGCGGCGGCGAGGCCGCACTGAAGGCCCCCCCCCCCCCCCCCGCCCGCCCGGCCCCGGGGTGTTATTGTGAGGGGGAGACAATGAGCAAACTCTCCTTCCGCGCCCGGGCGCTAGACGCCGCCAAACCGCTGCCCATCTACCGCGGCAAGGACATGCCCGACCTCAACGACTGCGTCTCCATCAACCGGGCCGTGCCGCAGATGCCCACGGGGATGGAGAAGGAGGAAGAATCGGTAAGGGAGCGCGGAGCAAGGGGGGGCACCATTGTTTACAGGCACCCCCCGCACGGGGAACCGGCCGCCGGTATTCACCAAGCGCGCTACGCTCGCTCCGCCGCGGGGCGCTCGGGGCGCTGCGCAAACGGCGCAGCGTAAGCCGCGGTCCGGCGCCGCGAGCGGGCCCTGCCGCCGTCCGCCATCTTCTGCTGCGCGTCCCGGGCGCGGGTGAGCGGGGGGGGCTCGGCGGGACGGGCCGGCGGCAGCGCGGAGCGGAGCGCGGTCCCGCCGCGGCGGAGCGCGGAGCCGGCCCGGCGGGGCTGCCCGACGGGACTCGGGATGTCACAGCGGTGGAGCGTGCCGGAGCCGGCTCGGGGTGTCAGTTCGGGTTGTCAGATCGGAGTGCCGGAGCAGGCTCGGTGTGCCGGAGCGGAGTGTCGGAGCCGGGCTCGGGGATGCCGGTGCGGGGTGCGCGGGATGCCGGAGCAGCTGCGGATGCCGGGCTGGGGATGCCGGCCGGGTGGAGCGGCTCGGGGTGTTGTGGACTGAAGCTGATACTACTCCTGCCGGCGCTGTTGTGAGCGGCTGTCAAGTCGCTCGGGCTGGAGCCGGGGAGGTGGTGGTGGCGGTGTGAAAGTGCTGTGCTGAGCCACTCCGCAGGGAACGAGCGGCTCCGAGCCGGCTCCTGTCTTTATACCCGCTGTCCCTCTGCTCCGGCCCGGTGTCCCCGAGCCCGGCGGCAGCTCCGTGTCGGGTTTGGGCCGCTGTCAGTGCCTGTGCTTGCTGTGTACATGTGGGGCTGAGGGCACACACACACACACACACACTGTGCACATGTGGGGCTGAGGGCACACACACACACTGTGCACATGTGGGGCTGAGGGCACACACACACACTGTGCACATGTGGGGCTGAGGGCACACACACACACACACTGTGCACATGTGGGGCTGAGGGCACACACACACACACACTGTGCACATGTGGGGCTGAGGGCACACACACACACACACACACACTGTGCACATGTGGGGCTGAGGGCACACACACACACACTGTGCACATGTGGGGCTGAGGGCACACACACACACACACACACACACTGTGCACATGTGGGGCTGAGTGCACACACACACTGTGCACATGTGGGGCTGAGGGCACACACACTGTGCACGTGTGGGGCTGAGGGCACACACACACACACACAGTGCACATGTGGGGCTGAGGGCACACACACTGTGTTATTTCCAAATCACCCGGCCGGTGTTCAGCCTGGACGTGTGATGTGTGTTCTGCTCGCAGTGTTAAAGGGTGGAAAAGCTTTTGTGCGCTGAGGTAAACACAAGTTTCTGGCAGTTTTGGTGAGCAGCAGGACAGCTTTGAGAATGCTTGCTCAGTTCTGGTGTCCTCTGGACGCGCTGCTTTGTCCTGCTGATCTTCAAACACTTTTCTGTAAGAGTAAGGTTTATTTGCTGCTCCTGGGAGTTGTGTAAGCTCAGACAGAGGCTGTCGCCTGATGTGTCTGTACTTGCAGAGCTGATAGTAAATGCACCCTCCAGAATTTCCTCAATGAATCCGTGTCTCCGCCTCAGCCAAACCTCTGTGCCTGTGGATTGGCTTTTCCGAGGTTACAGCTGTCAAAGGAGGCTCCGTGCTTTCCTCGTTGCTTTTTCTCACCTGACTGATGGTATTAAAAGAAATCCTTTGTCTTATTATGCTGAGCTTTTATTTTTTAATTTACTGTGTTGATATTGTGATCAAAACCTCAGGAATTCCCCGAGAGTGATGCTGCTAGAAGCTGGGATTGTAGTTAAAAGGAACAGCACTGGGGTTCTAATGAAGCAATATTGGAGACTAATTTGGTTTTCTCAGCCTCGAAAGTCTATCTTGCAGTGCTGTGTTTGCATTTAATATTTAAATTAATTCTTTAAATTTGCTGTTATTTTGATAAATCATGTTTAAAATAAAGTTGTTAATGGAAAATTGTTGTAAGAGTTCAAGCAAACAAGCTGCTTATGGGCTTCTTAAATGATTGCGAAGATTAGATTTCTACTTCAATAAAACTACTTGAGTGTTGTCCTAAAAAGTTGGTTTTCTGTGTGAGTGAGGTTTGTGTTCTCAGCCCTGACATATGGCTCTGTTTGATATATTATGTAATAGTCTCAAAATGAAATGACTGAAGCAATACATAAACATAGTGCGGGATGCATCAGCCAGGCAAGATTATAAACTGCTATTCTTAGATTGTTCAGATTATTGCCATGTGGTGATGGTTTCATTCATGGCTTGTCCTTCTCCCAGTGTAGCACAGATAATTCTTAAATGTACTTAAAAAAAAATTATATGAAATCCCTTCTAGGAATGGCTGTTGTGGGTGACAATAGTTAAATATTTGACAAATACCTAAACAGCTTTAATTCATAGCAAGTACTGCTGTGATCGATTTGATGTGTATTTGGAAGGGGACTTTTTGGAGGGAGAGAGAAATCTTTGCACACTCATTTCTGCCCCTCAATTTCTGTGGTGTCTCACGGCCTTTTTTCCCCAGTGAAAGTTGTTTGCGGCCTCGGGGTGGCTGAAATAAAGGATAAAGGATCAGAAAACTGAAATAATGCCCGGGAAATAGAACTGAAATGTTCAGAGCCACAAACCTCCTGCTCCTCTGGCCCCAGGACGCCGCTCTCCTCCCAGTGCCACCCTCTGGGACGCCTTGGTGGCACCAGAAAGGTGTCACGGGTCAGATAGCACCTTCCGGGATATATTCCACTGGAAATCATCATTATTTACAGATTTGCAGGATTTAAAACGCTTGGGTGACGTGTCTGCCCTGTGCTTTACAATTCAGCCTCTCTGTTGCAGGCATGCGGTTTCATTAGTTGGTGATTGATCTTTTGTACATTCAGAAGTGCAGATTTTGGTCCATTTATTCTTGATGAATATTCTATAACTGTTTCTGTATGAGTATCTCAGAGATTTATATCTACTCGCAGCGTTTCACAAATCAGCAGCTCATTTCTCTCACTTGGAGATTCCAGCTGTGAAAGAATTAGGTTTCTCTTCTGTAGCATGTTTATGTTACAAATGTTTATCATTTACTCTAAATTAAACCTGAGGAATAAAATCGTGTGGGTTTGTTTTTAAACTCACGTGAGAGAGCTGCTCGCTGTTAACCAGAAGCAGGAAAGTTTCCTTTCGGGAGTTCAGAAACTGAGCAGGGACACTTTTTTTTTCCCCTGATGAGTAAGACTCGTATTTGCTAATACTAATGAATTGTTTTGACTGGAAAGGGAGAAAGTTGCAGAATAGATAAGCCCTGGGTTTGTTTCTTACCACATAACTGTGCTTTTATTTGAATGCCTATTACTGGCGATTGCTGAGTTGCACATTGTGAGGGAAATCCTGCTTGGGAATGAGGCACATTCACAGGGGAGGCTCTGGGAAGTGAATTTACCTGAGGTGTGAGGAAGCTGAAAATGCGCTGGTAATGGGTGATCCCGGGATTGCCTGGTCAGAGCTATCTGAGCCTCCATCTCAATGCTTGTTTGCACATCCGTTCGTTTACACTTCAGCTTGGCACGGCATCACAGGCCCGAGGGTAGAGAGCAAAAGTGCAGGAATGGCAACTTAAGGACGTGCTTTGGCACTGCAGAAATGCTGACACCGTACCCGTGGGAAGGGACTTTCCTTCCCAGCCCTTCAGGGATCACCTCGGGACGAGCCTTCTCTGATCATGGAATACAGCGTTCACTTCTGATTATTGCGACTGGAAGTACTTAACTTGAATTTTTTTTTATTTCCTTAGTTCATTCAATT